TCTATCTATCTATCTATCTATCTATCTATCTATCTATCTATCTATCTATCTTTCTATCTATCGATCTATCGATCGATTGATCGATCGATCGTATAGATAGATAATAAAAATGTATCAGTGACTGTGAGTTTTGCAAAACTTGTCATAAGAATATTTTATTAGTGTTAATGTTAACTCCACCAAGAATATTTAAAAACACTGAACCATGTGTTCAGCTTTAATGGCTGTACGCCTAAGATTTACACAGGAAAAAATCGTGAGAATAAGTTTATTATTCAGCTTTGACTAACTAAACGTGCAGATACTTCATTGCTCCTGTCAAACAGGTTACACTGAGTGGAGTGGTCGACCGTTCCAAGATGGCGGCTCTACTGGCGATAGCGGTCAATGCTGTATTTAGTGTTTATATCTATGGTAACTCACAGCAGGAGTGAGAGTCCCCAGTTTGAGCACCATTTTAGTTGCTATGGTAAATAAACACCTGTAGGGGGCAGCAGCTCCATGGAGCTTCCTTTATCTGCACGTTTACGACGAAGAAGACCGGGCTTTACGGCAGTTACCAAAGAGCCTTAAAACGTCAAGATAATCCCCCGACAAACCAACATATCGGCGTCAGATACAGGCCCTATGTGTAAACTCACCTAACATTTACATTCAATTTATAACAGTAAACGTGTTCAGTTCCTCTATATAAAAATTAAAAACACAAACATTGTGTCAAAATCTTAAATGCGAACGTTCGCTTGTTACGGTTGAAGCGACGCCATTTTTTTCCCCCACCGGCGTTATCCATGTTCGTTCGCTTCCGCGGTGACATATCTTCATTTCTAAAGCGTCTCTGCCGTCGGTCTCCCATCGCTCCCCTACACGAAACGTATGACCTGTCTCTGGCCTTGGCGGCGTGCGGTCGGTGTGGCGCTGCTAGTTGACAGCTGTTTGTCTTGTTTAATTTACTGTAACTAGCTTTCTGTCCGGCTTGTGGGCAGTTGACGTGGGCGCTGTGTTACAGCAGAGCTGAGCCACAATGCTGAAATGTAGGACGGTGTGTAAAAAACTTGTGCCTCTCGTTCGAGCCTCATCAACAGCCTGCCGGCAGAATGTGAGAAGACCAGGTGGGTGAAGGAAACTAGTTGCTGGCTCGGTTGACTGGCCTACAACCAAATATTATTGAATGAATGAAGTTCTACTGTATTATGCCACCAAACCTCACGCTGTTCAGTCCCGTTAGCTTAGCTAAAGCTAATCTGACTTATGTTTACTAGTAAGCTAAGTAGCTAGTTGTTTGCAGGTATTTTGCAGGTATTTAGCACCAAACAAAGTTATGTAATTTTCTGAGACAACCTAATGTGTAGCCCACAACAAAGCATTTCCAGTAAATAATATCTATTTTAAATCATGTCTGCAGTCAGTTCTTTTAGACAGGTTCTCCATTTTCTACGACTTTCTTTAGCTTTCATGGTCTACTTTACCTCAATAACTTTGTGTTTACTTCCTGTGTTAAAGGATAAACGCTGGCACATTATTATAAGTTCATGGAAGGGGTGGCAGCTCATATTGTGGGTGTTAAGTGGGTGCTATATTTAGTTACCCAAATTCTTCAGCACATGTGGATACAGAGTCATTATCATGTCAAAGTTTGTCAAGCTCTTTGTTTCAACATCTACATTCTCCTTGAACAGTATTGGAATGGTAAGGCTGATTTATTTCCATTTGCTTTCGACTGAAAACACGTGGGACTGACATCAAGAAAGCAACATTTCATATTTTACTTCCAGGTGTTTACATCTGGATTGGTCACACAATTTAGAAGATGGTGTTATTTGGAATGGGTCACCTAAAAATGGCTAAATGTATTGGAAGAGATGGACTTAAAATGGATTAAAGTGAATGTTACTTAAGATCTAGTTTAAAATCAAAGCCCGTGACACGTTGACGTAACCAAACTTTTTTAGCTTTTTCCAGGCCCCTTGCAGTTGTCATTCATTTTGGTTGGGTTTAAGTTCTTTCAGTCTCCTCTTCAGCAGGTAAAGTGCTCCTCTATAGAGTTTACGTCTGGAACCATACAATTTCCCCCTGAAGAACTTGTTTATTGTTTTGGCTGTGTGTATTTTGGATCATCGTCTTGCTACATGATGAAGAATCACCAATCCAGAAAACTTTGTCTCAGAAGTTTTGAGCCTATTCTCAAAACTGAGAGTTTGATGTAATAGGACACAGCTGCATAACACAACTCATCTGTCACATGTTCCAATACTTTTGCACACCTAAAAATATCACAGCTGCATGTCAAATCCAGATGTAAACACCTAGAAGTAAAAGCTGAAATGTTGCTCTAAATGAATTGTCTTCACCTTTCTATACTTTCACATGCATTTCCTGTGTACAGGCAGCACATCTTAAAATCAGGACCTTAAATAAAACACTCAGAAGAAAAATTTGAAATTACTTTTTACAGTGTGTCATTTTTGGGAGAAAAAATTCAAAGTGCATAAACGCTGAGTTTAGAGGTCATCCTTATTACTTCTATAGAACCTGAGAGTCTAAACAGCAGCCAGGTCCTGCTAATAAAATGATTGAATTAACTGGTCATTAATAATTGTGAATGAATGGCAAAACTTGTGGCAGTTTGCAAGTCTGAAACATTTAGGTGCGTTTCAAAGAAAGAAAGAAAGATTTCAGCATTTTGGTGCCAATCAGTCTGAATAGGATTAAAAAGTAATTTGCTCTTCGTCATTCTAAACTTTATTTTTTCAATTTTTGGGAAGACTAACGGCTCACACTGTGTGCTGGTAGTTCTTTTATGAAAAATAGAAAGAAACAAGCAGTGAAAAAGCACTTTTAAGAACTGCATGTAAGCAATGTCAAGCCTCTTCAGGATGTTGAATTTAGAAGACCGCTGAAGAAGTGTATTATATAACTTGTTGATTAAAAGATAAAATGATTAATTGGATTAGCAAAGAGGCTTCAAAACAAAGTAAACGAGTCCTGGAACAATGTCTTTTGGACAAACGAAACTAATGTGTTGTAGATGTTTGATGGTCATGCATAGAGTCACATTCAGTAAGCTCACTGGTGGAGGTGCTGCAGGACCTGAACACTATGAGCTCCTCTGAACCAACAAAGAGTCAAATATGAGTTCATCTGGCCGACAACTGAAACTCTGCCTGAATCAGATCATGTTAAAAAAACAACCTGAATGGCTGAAGAAGTAAATCAGTGTTGCAATGACTCAAAGTCCAGCTCTCAACTCGCCTGAAACACTGTGGAAAGACATTAAGAGCTCTGCAGAAACAAATACCTGCTCACCTTAATAAACTGAAGTAACGCTGTAAAGAACAGCAGGCAGGAACTTATTCACAACAATGTGAGTTTTTGTGTATTTTATTTCACTCTTGTTTTTGTTACGTCATGTGTTTTCCAGGGTTGAACAATGTCAGAATACCTACGTGTGTCCCTGTGGCTCACATGTCCACCGGGCTGTTGGGGGGAGGTGGAGACAACCTAAAGTACGCCCTCGTGTTGGGAGCAACTTTTGTTGGTGGTCTGGCATATGTGAGTGAGTCTGTCCTGGAAAGATTTAGATGTTTTGACAACAAACGTTAGGAATCTGTTTGGGAAGTTTTTTTATTCTACACATTTAGCTTTGATCTGATTAAAACTGTACCCGAACAATGAATAAGAAGCTGAGTGAAAGTTTTAAACAGCGTTTGGTCTTTTATTTTGATAAATTCAGAACTTGATAACTAAGAACGTCCAACAGACTGCCTGACCATAAAAATCACATGTTCTCATATGATTAGTGACTACGTTTAACCCTTGGAATGTCCTTTAACTTCATAACTTTAAGGGGTCTTTAGGGGAATAATCCACCACCTTACTTAACTACTTAATAATCCTTTTTTTCCCACAATAAACTAGTCATTTCATTAGAGCTGTCTCAGCCTGAAATAAAAATATCAAATTTAAATGACTTATCTTGACTTTTTAATCTTTCAGGATCTTTATTTAAAAAAAATAATTTCCCTTCATTAGTATACTCTAAAGGATTTTTTTCTGACAATGAAAAAAAAAGTACAGGTTGAAGTCTGAGTCAGATCAGGTGGCTTTTTTAGTGAATCTACATGTGTGACTTGGTTAACGTGTTTTTTTTTCTAAATCTTTTTTAATTTAAACAAAAATGTATATTTTCTAAAACTCTACTTGTGCACAATGCAAGTTTTTGTTTTATTGTTTGCTTCTATTAAACCGTGGATATATTACCAGCTGCTGCAGCTCGGTGCATCCGCTATTGATGTCCTGATTTCAGTCAAGTCAACCAGAGCGAGCCGTTCTGATCCATGGAGCGTCCGATCCTTCAGCCTGCAGGCGCGCAGAACTGCTTTTTTAAAACTAAACATTTACTCATGAAACAAGCAAGAGTGATTTTGCTCTTTACGTCCAAACTGAAACAATTTTGTTGGATGAAATGACAGGCAGAACTCAACAGCAACGTCCAACCAGGAAGACGTACGTCTTCCGGGGTGAGCTGAAGTTCGTCCCTGTAGGGGTTTTCTTTAATTTTTGGTGATTGACGATCAGCCGATATTTACATGAGAAACCGATTTTACAGATTGTTTTGTAGTTTTAACAATTGTCTGAACTTCATTTATATTCAGAGCGCTACTTCATGGCCAGTTAAAACAAGTTTGTATTGATTCTAGGATATTGTTCAAGGTTATGTTTTTCAATAAAATAAGATTGGAAAATTGAAGGTGTTGTGACCTTATAACACCTGACAGTGTCGCTTATAAAACAAAATCGGTATCGGCCAAAATTTGATTTGGCAGGTCAGGTATTTTAGAGATCGGTGATCAGCCAGAAAACTGCAATCGGTGGGTAGCACCCCTAGTAAAATTCAAAGCATCACCAAGTGAGCAATATAAAAATTTTAATTATTCATGGATTCAAGGTTCCTTATTTGTCATAGTGATAGAGGTACAAATTAAATAAATTACTGAAATTTTTATATGATCTGATAATAATGGGATCAGAAAATGCATTTATATTGGGATTTCCCTGTGGTGAATTTATCCCCAAGGAACAGTAGAGGGTAGTCACGTTACTGTGCTGTGAGGTTACAGGAGCATTTGAAAGAATCCTGAGGGAAAAAGTTAAAATAATTTTTAGGCTTTATCAGGAACTATCAAGCTTACTGACATCACCAAAATGTAAATAAATAAATAACACAAACAAGAATAAATGCGTGGCAGATTTTTTTTCCCCCCCCATGAAACCTTCTAGGGGTTGATTTAGATTACGACAGATGTTCACTATGGGATCGTTTTGGCCGAGCTGTTACAACACTCTTTTCCATCAGATCAGCTTGTTTAATTTTGCATGAAGGGAAAGTTGAACTGAATGTGTTTAATTTCACAGACTCTTATAACCTTGAAGGAAGATCATGAAATATATATGAAACGTATGGAAAGATCAACCTCCCACATCCAGTCAGAGCCGCCCAGTGAGTCGATTTTATTCTTTCAGAAGTCATGTTTTTATCTCAGCTCTGAATTTATTTCTGCTAAGAGATGGTGAGAGACTCGGAGTTATGTCTTTTCATTATCGCCCCAAGACATTTTTCTTGTGTTTGTGTGTCTGACTGTTAGCTAAATATCTCATGAACTGCTGGATGGATTTTAACAACACTCTAGGGGAAAGTCAGCTCAGTTCAAGAGGCTGCCACAGCTAATCCACAATAGCAACAGTACAAGGTTACTCAGTTTTAGAGATATTAAGCTAAAATTTTGTGTGGTAGTAGTTGTGGTGTCTGTGAGCAGGACACCCTATCCCCAATTGCTCCCCGGGCGCCTTCAATACTGCTCCACCTAAGTGCATCCCAGGTGCGATGGTTTAAATGCAGAGAGCCAATTGTGCCATTGTATGGGAACATACAATGATGACAACACATAAAACATTAAATGCTAGTGCAAACAGATCTCGTGACATCTTGCAACATCATTCATTTCTTTCGCCCTTTCCGTCTTCAGGGTCTCCACAGCGAGTCATCCTCCTCCATCTCTCTCTGTCCTCACTCCAACTACCTCCATGTCCTCTCTGACTGCATCCATACATGTCCTCTTGGTCTTTTTCCTGGCAGCTGCATTTCTAACATCCCAATGCCACTGTCTCCAGACCATACAACATAGCTGGTCTCACCACTGTCTTGCACACTTTTCCTTTGATCTTTGCTGAAACCCTTTATCACAAATCACTCCTGAAACTTTCACGAGGTTTGACAAAAACTGCTCCGTCTCTTCTCATCATAAGACAATCTTCGTTCAAACTACAGGTGAAAGTGGTCCAATTTTTTCCCATATTCATTCGTTCGACCTTTATTTAGACAGGTAAATATGCAAACTATATCAGATTTTTTTTTAATGACAGCCTGAATGTGACAAATCTGACCCAGGTCACTTTCATATGTGGTACTAAGTCAGATACATATCTGATGTTTTCCAACACAACCACAGTCGCATCATTCAAGTAGGAGTATACAGACTTATCCTAATGTTGATATTCTCGATGGCAGTGACTTGCAGTTTAAAGCTCAGAACTCCATATAATTGTGTGTGTGGGTTGTTTAGTTTTTTCATGTCCATGTTGCTGCTTGATTGAGATCTACACCACATCTGGTGTTGGATTGTATCGATACTAGCTTGACAGGGTTGATGCTCCAGTTGGTTTCTCTCCTACTTTCAGTTTGTCATTCCCACTCTAGAAACATAATTCTGCACCAGAGAACAAGACCCAATTTAACCACTGAATAAAACAAGCATGGCAGATCATTTAGTTTGCTTCAATTGCACGACAACTTAAGAACATGCTGACAGGTGTAGCATCCAAAGTGACGTCCATAAAGACGGCGTGCTCAGTGTGACGTCACGTCTTCTGTCATCTCAGAACCTTAAACAAGTTAGTCTGAAAATGGGCGCGATTAAATTAAAATGCTTATAAAAATAAAAACAGACTTGAGCGTCAGGACCTGCAATGTGAACGTAGCCTTAGTACAAGATTCTGTTGTAACAGGTGGCGGGTGATATGCATTCCTTCAAGGAATGCTGTTGAATTTTTAATGTGTATTGTAGCTGTGGAAGTGAATTCTTTATCATTGACTATTATCATTATTATTAATGATACTATTATTATGATTATCATTTGACTGGTCAAATGTCACTCATGGTAATAAGAGAGTGAAACTTATTATGCTGCAAACCTCAGTGTCTGTTTTTATGGGAACAGTTTATTTTTTAGTCTTGGTTTGAAGTAATTTACTGTAAGAGCTGACTCTGAATCAGCTGACTCTGCAGCGCCCAGTTCAGCTTCCTCTCTGTTGCCATGAAAACAGAAGATTTGAAGACGTCGCAACAAATTCCCAGTGACACTGTTTTTTTTATGAAAGTGGCATTTCTTAAAGGAAAGCATATCACCCTCCTACTTGTGCCAAAGTTTTAAACAAAAATGTTGCACAATCTGTTAACACCCGGCGTGTGTGACGGGGAAGAGTCTCAGCTACTAAAGTTAAGCTTAATATCTGTATAAGTGACTTAGTTATAGCCGTTTTTGTATTTTTGTATGCTGCAGGAGCCATCTCGATTGAAGCTGACTTAAAAAGTGAATCAGTCGTTGAGGAACATTCAGTGATTACTTTCTGAGAATTTCATTAAATTCCATCCAGAGGTTCTTAAGATATTTTGCTAACAGGCGAACAGACATGTACAATTACATGATAATTAGTGGATTAGTTTAAAATATGCAGTGCCTTTTATCTTAACTTTAATTTTCCATTATTTTTTTTTAGATGTCTTTTACTACTCCAGGCTGCGTTATACTTCATGAGAAGTGAGACGTTTGTTCTCGTTCGCAGGGCTGCAAGAACAAGAACGTCATTGTATTCTCAACATGCTGTCTGCACAAAGCTTTTTTTCTTGGCAGTGTCCAAGAACAGTTGTGTGATTGGTCAGAAACAGCTAGCCGAGGCAGTGTTTAAGTATGAAAACCTATATAACACATCTTTAAAGACACAAATGGTTGGTTTGTGGAATGAGGAAGCCCAAATGTGCATGGAGGAGACCACTTGTTGGGAAACAAAATAAATAAAATAAAACATTTCCTTCATGACAAATTGGCAAAGGCTAAAGAACGCCAAGTTCAGACATGAGTGGTGATGCTAGTGGGAGGCAGGGAGTCCTGCGGTGGGTTTCTCATGAAGTATATCATGGCCTAAACAGACTTTGTTCTTGTTCTTGACAGCTTGAGAAAATGAACACATTTCTCTGTTCTTGCAAAGTCTGTAAGCAGCCTTAGTTTGGACTTGTTTTATATTTTGGGCTCAAGTTTGATTCTCTTCTCCCTCAGCTCTTTCTGAGCCGAAGCCCGAAGCTGCATCTTCACCAGAGGAACCGAGCCCCCCGCCTGAGGCAGCAGCACCCGTCGCAAAGGCAGCAGCCCCCAGTGAAACAAGTGAACCACCTCCAGGTTGTCTTAGATATTTTATCAGGCAGACATATTTTTTGATCATTTAAAATTAAGAGTGACGAGATGAGGATAAATGCTGAACATCTGTTTGATGACTCCAGCTGCTACAAAACACCCAATTATTTAAAATTCTCCTTTTTTTGTTTGTTTATACTGAAGGTTTCCTGAGTTGTTCTGCTCTTCTGTTAATTATGTGACTTGTCTATTTCCAAAAAGTCCATAAACTTTGATGTTTCCTTTGGGGGGGCATGTTTTACTTTTTGTTTCTGTTCACAGTAAATGAAACCTCGACAGATGACACTTCTGTGTTTTTCTTGCTGGTCACACTATTTAAAACTGTCGACTTTAATCATTTTATTCTTTTTACAAATCTAAGTCTGTCTGTGTAATTGGACCATCAGTTTGTTGGTTCTGTGTGACTGAACGCTCCAAAGAACTCTGCAGGCTCAAAGCTTGGTCCTTCTGCTATAATGCATTTAATGAATCTATGGAATAACTGGAGTTGTATTTATGAGGACGTTGTGATGTTCATCTACCACCTCGGATGTTTCTGTTGTCTCATTCTGACCAGCTGATGATTTGGTCACACTAGCAGAACCCTCTGCAGCAGAACCTCCTGAGCTTCAGCCTGAAGGTTTGACAAAAAGTGGTGAGTTGATCTTACAGTTGGAGAGGGGAGGCAGACACGGCACCATGCTTTTAGTTTTTTGTTTCTCCACCTTTCAAGCACCTTTATACACTGTACATATTTTTTATGTCTTTTTGTTCTTTTCACATCATTTTGGTTCTTGCAAAGCAAATTTCACTTCTTTCTATTGAACTTTTTTTTTTTTTATCCATTTAGATGCTTGTGTTCGCTGATTAATGTTTTGCTTCTCCCCTTCTCTTCTGTTCGTCTTTGCTTTCTCTGTAAACTCCAGCAGCAGACTCCACACCTCCCTCCCACAGGCTGCCCTCTCACACCCCCTACCTCCTGATTGGAGGAGGCACCGCCTCTTTCGCTGCAGCACGATCAATTCGAGCCAGAGACCCCGGTGCTAAAGTCAGTCGTGGCTCTACGTTCACCCAAAATACAGTTTTGTCCTCCGGTTCTGTGAACGTCACCACATCGACTTGTTGTTGTTGTTGTCAGGTTCTCATTGTGACCGATGAGCTGGACCTTCCTTACATGAGACCACCTCTTTCTAAAGAGCTGTGGTTTTCTGATGATCCCAGTGTGACAGAAACGCTGCGCTTCAAACAGTGGAACGGAAAAGAAAGAAGGTGGGTTTGAGTCTGGTCAGCTGTTTTAACCTAATTTGCTTTATTCTCTGGTTTCTTTCAGGCACTGGTGCTGATTCTAAATACACTCAGGTTGCTTCTGATTTAATAATCTATCATAAAGTGAAATGATGGTGTTGAATCAGCTTTCTCTGTAATGCTCAGACATTTATTAGCTCTGGCTTCAGCATTTCAGCTTTATTGGTCCACACTCTTTAAAAAATTATTATTATTTACTTATTTACAGAAACGCACATTATCTGATTGTATTGTCTCCATGGAAACTCTGAAACTGACGGCAACAACAAAAGCCGTCACAGATGACGATAATAATAATAATACGTTTTCCTTAGATGTGCCTTTGACACTCAAGGACACTGAACTGAGGGTACAAGCAACAGCAACGTATTAAAACATCAAAACACATAAAAAGCAAAGGTTTTGTCCACTAAAATGTGAGTAACGTCAGCTTTAGAGGATGTTGGTTTTGTTCTAATGAAGAGGAGTTCACTGTTTATTTAAGGAACTTTGAAGAAGAACGAGATTTAAGTTCATTAAGGCAGTTATCAGGAGAGGACGTAATGTGGTATATGAATTTACCGTTGTGGTCCAGTTAAAAATAATAAACTAAAGGTAAACTGAACTTTCTGACTACTTGAACACATCCTGTCGATACGTTGAGACACAACTCTTGCTCTGTGTGCATGTTGCCCTCAGTGTTCGGGGTAAATCCAAAAACTACTGACAAACAAAAACGACAAGCTTTATCCAAACGTACTGAAGAGTTAAAGTAGTAAAAATAACTAGAATAATTAACATTTCATGTGAAAATGCTGCTAAAAAAGCTTAACACTTGAAATTTATCAATAGCTGAAAACTGGAAAATAAGGCTGCAAGAAGCGCAACAATAACAGACTTTGATATTTACACTTGTAGTAAATCAAATCTAAATATAGTAAATCAAATCTAAATATATATATTTACCCATTTTAATGACTAAAGTTTATGATGTGGTTCTAACAATGCATGTACAAGAATGAGCATTCTATGATTAAATTAGAGTTAAATGTGTGTTTTGGCTTGTAACACTTGCTGATTGTATAATTTCAATATTCTTTTCAAGCAAAAGTTTTAAAAACAATAAATATATATATTTTTATTGTTGAAAATGTCTAATGATTTTAACTTTTGCATTTCTCTGACAGTATTTACTTCCAGCCGCCGTCATTTTACATCAATCCAGAGGATTTGGACAGCGCAGAAAATGGAGGAGTGGCTATTCTCACCAACAAAAAGGTTTGTGGTTTTTACTTGTTTCTTGATCTGTAAGAGTTTATTAAAGAAACTGAATGCTATATTCATTGCAGGGATTATCTTTTCCAAATGAAATGCTTAATGAGGTTGATATATGTTCAATGGATAAATAAACCTGTAAAACAGGAGGTAAACGATGGGTTGAATATATTTTAGGTGGTTCACATGGACGTGAGGGGAAACAAAGTCAAACTGGACGATGACACTGAGATTTCATACGACAAGTGTTTGATTGCTACAGGTAAGAACGCCTGATTGTGTGAATAATAATTAAGCATTCACACTTTTGGGATCCATTTTTCTTCCATCCATTTTTCAGCATCTTTCTCGTTCCACAGTTTTTGTGCTATTTCAACAAATCATATCAAAACATTCAGCTCTTTCAGGACAATCCTACTATGAATTTTGGTACAACTTTAGCTTTTTTAAATATTTAGCCTCTTCTGCCATTTTTTTCCCTCATAGAAAATGAATTGAGCTCATTTTCCATCCTTCAAATCTTTAGATATGTTTATAACCTTTTACTGCTCCTGTCACATTTTGTTCTGCTTCAGCTTCTTTCAGCTTCCTTGTGCAAATTTAAACATTTTCAACTAATTTCACATATTTTACACTCTTACACTTTTTTCAGTCTAATTCAACAAAAGTGTGTTCTCTCCACTTCTGCTTATTTAAGCTTCTTTCTGCTTTTTTAGCTACTTTTCAGCTGTTTGTTTGCTCATTTCAGCCTTTATCAGATAATTTACACTTTTTTTGTGCTCATTTCTGCATCTTTCATTCTAATTGGGCAAACATGTTCTTTCTGCTTTCTTTTACTAATTTAAGCTTGTTCTACATTTTCAGCTACCTTTTTAGCATTTTGTTAGCTAATTTCATCCGTTTTCAGATTAATTCAAGCCTTTCATGGGACTTTCTGCTACTTTCGGCCCAATTAACGTTTTTTCTGCTAATTTCAGCTTGTTATGCTAATTTCATCTTAAATATGCTAGTTTTAGCTATTTCAGCTACTATTTACTGTAGCTGTTTTATGCTAATTTTAGCTTTTTCTGCTAATACCATTTTTTTAGCTCATTTCACTTCTTTCTTCTTTCTGCCTTTCAGATAGTTTTCAGCCATTTTTTTGTTGTTGCTAATTTAAGCTTTTTTTTTTTTAGCTAATTTCCTACTTTTACGCTCTTTTCTGAAACCTAATTCAGCAAATATGTGTTCTTTTTGCTTTCTTCTAATTTAAGCTTGTTCTTTAATTTCAGCATAGTTTTAGCTAATTTAATCTGTTTCTTTTCTTCTGCAATAATCATTCACACTGTATTTTGGAAATGCAATTTCTCTATTTTAGATTAGGTTTTATTCAGATTAGTTGGACTCAAATTTATTTATTTTTTTAATCTTCAGGTGGCGTTCCAAGAACTCTGCAGGTACTGGAAAGAGCGGGAGAGGAGGTGATGAAGAGGACGAGTTTGTTTCGTAAGGTCAGGGTTTGAATTGGATGACGGTTTTGTTTGTCAATGTCAAACGTATTTTCTGTGAACGTTAATAAATTACACACTGAAGCAAAAGAGGTTGATGTAAGATTTTTAATCCTTAGATTGATGACTTCAAATCCCTGGACAAGGTCTCAAGAAGCGTAAACTCCATCACAATAATTGGAGGTGGTTTCCTGGGCAGCGAGCTGGCCTGCGCTCTTGGCAGGAAATGTGAGAATCAACAATCCGAATGTGACAGAAAACATCCGACTGATGTTTACGAGTGATACAATGAATTGATTTTAAATTAATTTGCTGTTTTTTTTAATGTTTTTAGCAACAGAATCTGGACTGGAGGTCGTACAGATGTTCCCTGAGAAGGGCAACATGGGGAAGGTGCTGCCTGAGTATCTGAGCAACTGGACCACAGAAAAAGTCAAGAAAGGTTCATTTTTCCCCCATTTAGTTTGGCAGCTGTGGAAAAAAAGATTTTTCCTCGTGAAGCTTGTTGATTCTTTTTCTTTGTTTTTCAGAGGGTGTGAAAATCATCTCCGAAGCGCTGGTGAAATCTGTGGCTTACAAAGATGATAAACTGGAAATCCAGCTGAAAGATGGCCGATTGGTAGGTTACAATATTAGCCGAATGTGGCTTAATTCAGGACAATAATTTCACAGAGGATCTTGTACTCGATGTTGCAGGTGAGAACGGATCACATTGTTGCAGCAGTTGGCCTGGAGCCCAACGTAGATCTCGCCAAGTCAGCCGGTCTGGAGGTGGACTCTGACTTCGGTGGTTATCGAGTTAATGCAGAGCTTCAAGCTAGGTCCAATATTTGGGTGGTAAGTTAAACCAAAGTTCTAAATATTTAGAACATTTTCCATGTTTGATTACAGTGCCCTCTTGTGGTCAGTTCACATCATGACTGCTTTCGCTTTTAATATTTTATGTAAACAAGTCACTCCTCAGTAGGATTTTGCATCATGTACCAGCTCCATTTTCTTTTCTGTAATGCATAACCACAACCTGTTCTGTTTGAAAACAGGCTGGAGATGCTGCGTGCTTCTACGACATCAGATTGGGCCGCAGAAGAGTCGAGCATCACGATCACGCCGTCGTCAGTGGGAGACTGGCAGGAGAAAACATGACCGGAGCCAACAAACCTTACTGGCATCAGTCTATGTTCTGGTGGGTATTCTTGTTTTTAAGATTGATCTGTGGTATTACTTGGGGTCACAAATTCAAAACTGTTTTTTTTTTTTTTATTTAATTAAAATTGTGTGTGTACAAACTAAGAACCAAACTGATGGAAAGCTGAAGCTCATCTGCATCGTTGAAGGTTGCATCTGTAAGGAAGCAGAGGAGCAGCAGGTGCAACTCTTCTAAAGTCTCAGATGATTTTAGAATTCAACTAAATGCTAATCTTAAAAGTTATCACATTAAAAAAAACAATACTTTGGATGAAAATACAAGTAAGAACCTAAAAGAAACAGATATTTGGATTTTACCTTCAGTTATCTGCCCATCACTGCTTCATTATCAGCTGCACCATCTTGGGTTTGGACTAAAGCCTGCTGTAATTCCCTCTAAATTACATGGGTCATTTAAGGCCCACGGGCCAAACCTGACCCTTGTTAACATCTCATCTGGCCCCCCAGTATGATAATTTAAGTGTAAAATATTATTTCTGCTCATTTTGCTTAATAAACTTATAAATACTTGATTTATTGCAGACCTCTCATGTCAGATGGCTAACTGTGATGCTTTTTTGAAGGAAAAAGTTAGGATTTTTCAGTAATCTTTGAATCTGATGTGGAAAGAACAACAGAGAACGTTAAATAAGACAGATTAAACTTTTGTTGAGGGACCTGCAAGCAAGAAATGATGTCATGTATCTGACCTGTGTTGTATCGACTGAAATTGGCACATGGAAGGACCAAGTTTGACGCTAGATTAAATAGCTAGTCTCCACTCGTCTTCCTTCTTTGCCTGCATAAGAGGCAGAGGTACATATGTGTTGTTGTATGCTTTTATAGCACAAACCTAAATATATATATAGATATATATAGAGATATAGATATAGAGATATAGATATAGATATATATATATAGATATATATATATAGATGTATAGAAATTAAAGAAATGTACAACCAATCTAAAACTGTGTCACACTGATATACTCCTCTTCCTGTTAGGTGCTGGAGTCCTCCACTGGTCCTGATTAGTTTTTCTGGTTGTAACTGAACCGGCTTATGGTGTCCCAAAAAAAAAAAAAAA